GGTGCCGTCTGCGGTGGCCGCGGCTGGGATGCGAGGACCACAGCGAGGGCTATGCGGTCGGGGAAGCCCGGCTTGGGATGTCGGTGCCTCCGCGCGCGGCTCCGGTCCGGACGCTGTGTAACCCCGAGTTCCCGGGCTGGGAGGGCGCGGCGGCTCCGGGAGTTCGGAGCCGGCCAGGGGCGCCCGGCGGGGGGCGGAGGGGGGGCTTCAGGCGCCGCGCGGGCCTGGTCCCTGGACACCGGTAAGGGTCGCAGCCCACCTCTCACCCGTTGCCGTGCAAGCGCCCTCGACCGCCTTCAAGGTTGGAGGTCACGGCTTTGGTCGCGGGCTTTCCTACGGGAAGCCTCGATTGGTTCGGTTAAGGATGACGTCAGAATGCCCAGGGTTTCTCAAGAGTGCGCCTAATTGAAAAGACTTGAGAAATAAGAATGCTTGCTAAGGCTCCGTCGCCCAAGACCCGAGAGCCATGGTTTTAAGATTATTGGGGTCTTGGGATGAGACTATGTCAAGCGTCTGTCGTGTGCTGACAGAGCAAGTGACAGGTGTCTCCGGGAGCCTGGTCACCTGCATACAGTCCATTCCAACCCTTAGCAACCCCATAGGGCAGAGTAGAACTGCCCCTATGTCTTTACAGAAGGCTGGGGGGGTTGGACCACCTACCTTGCAGTCAGCAGTCTGACCCCCTTAGAAGCTTACCCGGTTACATCACATGACGTCTGTTCAATACGTGAGTGTGTGTGTGTGTGTAGGAGCCCTGGTGGTGTAGTGGTTACGCTTTGGGCTGCTAACCTTAAGGTCAGCAGTTTGAAACCACCGTCCTCTCCTTGAGGCTTTTTACTCCTGTAAAGCGTTGTAGCCTCAGGAGCTACCCTGTGTTGTAGGGTGATTATGAATCGGAATCAACTTGCTAGCAGTGAGTTTGGTTTTATATATAATGTGTTGTTAGGGGCCATCGAGTCAGTGCACATCTAATATTTAATAAGATGACTTATGAGAGTCCTGGGTAAAGGAATGCCCCGATTTCATAAAACAAAACTTGTCTTCTGCTTTTACATATCTTCAGGCTTGGCCTTTTCCTGTGACTGCAATGGGAACTCCCCAGAACGTTTTCTGCAAAAGACTAACACAATATGACCAAAGTTTTAACGAGCTCTTCCTAGCTACTATGGAAAAGCGAGTTAAGCGTAGATGCGGAGCATTTTATTAGATTATCCAGGCAAGAGGTGGTAGTGGCTTGATGTAGGAGCTCAGTCTGGATTTCTTGGAGAGCCAGCTCATGAGATTGGCTGATGAGTGGGCCGTGAGGTGTAAGAGGGGGCAAGGCCAAACAGAAATGGCTGGACTGTTTAGTGGGAGCAGCGGGGAGAGTGAAGCTTTCATTCTGAGCTGGGAGGCACGCACTGGGCATGTTGTTTTTGTTTCTCGGTTTAGTTTTTGAAAACGCTGGTGCTGTGAACTGGGGGAAGTTTTGCAGAGTGATGCTCAGTTTTCCATTCAACTGTTCGGACACTTTTTTCCCCAACTCATCCATTGCAGTCCTCTCAATGGACCTCCGCCTTCTGAACTCTGGGTAAATGCTGCCCTTTTGATCTTAAAGGACCGGTTATTCGCAGGTGTGGTTGGTGCATCTAACCCTGCTTTGCTGCTGTGATTGTTCCCGTTACAGGCCTTGTGGTAAAATTGCCAAAAAAAAGTCAATGGTGCTTGTGGGTCTGGGGAGAGAGGGGGCCATTGCTGCTAACGGTACCAGGTACTGGGTCCCAGGGTGGCCACCGAAATCTCTTGAAATTGGATGAGGGGGGTGACTGCACCACCGAGTGTTAGAAACTGGCGGCTCGTTCATCGTAGGCTTTCGATGCGAGTGAGTGACTTCCAGTCGGTTCTGTATTCCATCGACCCCCGTCAGAGCTCACCTGGATTCTATCAACCCCACCCCACCCCCGTCAGAACTGCCCGCCATCGGGTGGGCCCCAGCACACAATGACCTCGTGGGCAGTAGCAAAGCACCACGGCCTGCGGCCCCTCACAACTGTTGCTGAGACTGAGTCCTGGTGGCCGCTGTGTCCGTCCATCTCATCGAGGGTCTTCCTCTTCTTCATGGACCCTCTACTTTACAGGCATGATGTCCCTCTCCAGGAACTGGCCCCTCCGGATGACATGCCCTAGGCACAGGAACGGACGGACGGACGGATGGATCCTTCCACTTGTATTTCTTTTAAAAAAAAGAGTCGTGACTGAAACTCCCCACGGTGTAAGCACGGGCAGTGTCTTTCTGTGCCTGCTCCTGTGGAGACAGACGGGCTTTCTACTCCGGAAAGCCCTGCCGTCTTGGAAGCAGAGGGGAGCAGTTCAGTTCCACTCTGTTCAGTGGGGTTGCTGGGAGTCGGAATCAGCTTGACGACAGCGCGTTGATTCGGAATGCCTTTGCCCCGTGGTATAGCTGTTACCTATGGCTGTAGCAGATTGCCAGAATGTCGCCCAAGACCACGTGCCTGCATTACCTCACTCCAGGAGGACAGGGGTTCCTCCCCAGGATCTCAAGGCTGCAGTCAGCTTGGGCCTCACTTCCAGTGAGATTCCACTAGGACGGCTTCCAAGTGGCCTCCCAAGGTGTCAGCGGGCTCCCTGCCACACTGGCCAGGAGATATTGGCCAGAGATCGGAGGACAAGCGGAAGTGGGCACCCAGGATAGGGACCACAGACACTGTTGTAACCTGGCCTCTCAAATGGCCCACAGTTGGTCACAGGAAGCCTGGGGTGGGCTCCCCAGGATGGGCAGGGGAAACTGGCACTTGGCAGGTGAACGGGCCCAGCGCAGGGAGCACACAGGGCGTGTAACTGACAGTGGGGCACGGTTCTGTCCACCGGGTTCTCGGGCAGTGGGAGACTGGTTTCACCTGTACTCGAGACAGCCCTGTGGTTGTGTGTAAGTAACTCCTGTGTCTCTCTCGCGCCCACAGCCCCCTTCTGGTCACCTGCTCGCTGGTCCAGTTCTCAGAGGACGCTGCTTCCAGAAAGGTAATGACACAGTGCTGATGGTCTGAGTGGGCTCTCCTGCCATTGTCCAGGCTGGCTTTCCAAATCCATAAGCCTGGGCATTGGGGGGTGGGGGTGGGGGTGCAGGTGTTAATGCTTCCCCAGGGGTCTGGTAGCCAGGGCTCTAGCCCCCCCCCCCACACACACACACACTTGAGAAAGGTGCTCAAACACGCACATCTTTCCCTGAGACTCCCACCTGGGTGGTGTGGAGGACAGAAGGTTGTGTCCAGGTCAGGGAGGGACTGGCGTCATGTGATAACGCATACTGTGCAGTAAAATGGGCCCCCTGGGGAACAGGCCATTGCGGGATGCTTTGATGGGGGAGGGGTGGATGGATGACAAGCAGCAACAGCACGAGTTGCCACCACACCCCAACTCTGTCTTGGGGTGGGCCCACACAGGCCACGTGCTGGTGTTTAGAAAGTGGGTCGCCAGGCCTTCCTCCTGCGGCACTTCTGGGCTCGGGCCCATTGCAGCCCGGCCACCCCCAGGAGCAATGCAGGCATTTAGATGTGCGCCATGGTTCTCTTAGGAGAGATGGCAGCTCAGGGCTGGCTCGCCGGGGACTGAGCCGTGGCTGCCCCTACTCGGTACTCCTGCTGCTGCAGCTGGAAGTAGGTAGTATCTCTGTCTGGGGGGGGGATTTGTGAGAAAACTATACAAGTGGTGGAGAGGCGGGGCTGGGAAGAGGTGTCCACCTGGCAGGCACAGGTCGAAAGGGGCTCCACTGAGGTGGGGCCTATAACTGGGCCAGGCCCCCCAATGCTCTCTCAGGCCTGCCTGGTGGTCTTCCAGGGGAGAGAGCCCTGGGACTGTGGGCAGGGTGACCCAGCCTCTGAGGGCCCGTGTGTCCCAAGCAAGGACTTGGAGTGGACATCTGTAGGGCCCCAAGAGAGGGCCCATGGCAGAGCTGGGCCTGTCCCCCACCTGTGTGTGCACACTGCCTGCTGGTAGGCATTCTGTGCTCTACCCTGCATGTGTGTATGACACACATCTGTAAATCCTCCTGCAGATACGTTCCCAAGACATCCCTCAGCTCCCCGCCTTGGCCAGAGATTGTGCTGCCCGACCCCGTCCAGGAGGCCAAGCACCACACAGGTAACAGTCAAGTCCCGCCCCGCAACCTCCCTCACCCACACCAAGTGCTCTGCTACGCAGTGTGTGGCCGCACCTTGCCGCCAGGTGACAGTGCACTCGCAGTGCTCCCTGAGCCCCTGCTGGCTGAGGGTGGGGTCAGAGGGCAGACCTTTCCCCCAGCATCAGAGCACGGCAAGTGGTGGTGGGGCCCTGGGAGAGCCTGTGTGTTGCAAAGAAGCGTATGGCCTGGCTACAGAGGCCAGGAATCCCGTGTGCCGTGAGGAAGCCTCGGACACTATAGGGGACCAGGAGCAAACAGCCCTACCAGGCCAGGGAGCATCTGTTCATAGTAGAAGCCCCTCATGCCCAGGGGCCCCCCTCCCCTCCCCTCTATCCACAGTGTGAACAATGATTGAGCCAGACCAAAGCCCGCCCCCCAACACCCCGCTGCCGAGGCAGTCCTGGCTGGCAGCCGCCTTTCTCCCAGAGAGGTTAGCACTGCCCACCTTGCAGTTAACAGCCCAGCGCCCAGCAAGGGGTACGTTTTCACACCCCAGAAAGACAGCCCAGGCGCATGGGTGTCGGGGAGCCCAGTGCACAGGCAGACTGTGGTTCTGGCTGCTGTCCGTGTCCCCAGCCGCCATGGCCTCCCCGGGACACATCCATGGGCTCCATGTTGCTGTGGGGAAGGGGCCGCCGAGGGGCTATACAGTGCCCCCTCCCACGGGGCAGCGCCCCTCCCAGGTGCCAACAGCCCTGTGTCTCGTCTGTTCCGCAGAGGTTGTGGCGTCGGTGAATGAGCTGATCGCCACGGGCCAGTACAGCCGGCTTTTCGCCGTGGTGCACCTGGCCGGCCACCAGTGGAAGGTGACCAGCGAGGACCTGATCCTGGTAGAGAATGATCTGGACGCTGCCTGCGGGGAGAGGATCCGCCTGGAGAAGGTGAGGCTCGGCTTGGAGCCGGGCGCAGGGGGTCCCCCGCAGAGGCTTGCGTCACCCGTGCCGTGCCCTCGCCCTCACAGGCAGCTTGTGGCTGGGGCCGCTGCTGCAGCCAGCCTGCGGAGCACTGGCCTGCTGGCTGAACTGACCACCACCACTGGGTCTGCCCTCCTCGTGCGCACTGCGTGTGTCTGGGGTCCTCGTGACTCCTGCCTCCTCCGCGGTGTGCTGTGCCTGGAGCCCTGCTGTGGACCGGCTTCCTGGTGCTTAGCTCATTAGGACCATGAGTTTGTCAGGACCCCCTGCCGCCTCTGCGAGGCTGGAGCTGCTGGGGAGACAGGCAGGGCCAGCACGGACCTGTCTCTTCCTCCTCCCTGCTGCTGTCCCGGAAGTGCCAGCACAGTGGTCTGAGGCTGGGGAGGCACCTGACCAGTGCCATCTCTTCTCTCACAGTTCAGGGCACAGCGGCTTCAGGGCGGGTGCTCTCTCTCTGTCAGCGCTAGGGGAAAGCCACGCCTCTCGCTGCTCGGAGCTCCTGTGTCTTGGCATCAGTCTCCCTCTGAGCCCAGGAGGTTCCCAGCAGAGGGACCCTGGGCCCAACGGGCCCACTAAGCTCCCTCTGATCCCTGCTTGCTGTAAATCGCTTTCACAGCTCAGAAGAGACGGATTCAGATACAGCCCAGTCCTGGAGCCCCTGCGCTGCCTCATTAGCATAACTCAGAATCGGGCCCGTGACCATTGTGTTGTTAGGGGCCATGGAGTCGGCTACAGCCCTGGGCACAGCCCTGGACACACTGACCAGCCCTGGACACAGCCCTGGACACACTGACCAGCCCTGAACACAGCCCTAGACACACTGACCAGCCCTGGACACAGCCCTGGACATACTGACCAGCCCTGGGAACAACCTAGGACACACTGACCAGCCCTGGACACAGCCTAGGGACACTGACCAGCCCTGGGAACAACCTAGGACACACTGACCAGCCCTGGACACAGCCGAGGACACACTGACCAGCCCTGGACACTGACCAGCCCTGGGCACAGCCGAGGACACACTGACCAGCCCTGGACACAGCTGAGGACACACTGACCAGCCCTGGACACAGCCTAGGACACACTGACCAGCCCTGGACACAGCCTAGGGACACTGACCAGCCCTGGGAACAACCTAGGACACATTGACCAGCCCTGGACACAGCCGAGGACACACTGACCGGCCCTGGGAACAATCTAGGACACACTGACCAGCCCTGGACACAGCC